TGGAACAGCCTGGAACTGGAACAAGTACTAAGATGGTAATCAGTTGATGGAACAGCCTGTGATGGGACCAGTTACTAAGATGGTAATCAGTTGATGGAACAGCCTGGAACTAGACCAGTTACTAAGATGGTAATCAGTTGATGGAACAGCCTGGAACTAGACCAGGTACTAAGATGGTAATCAGTTGATGGAACAGCCTGGAACTAGACCGGAGTTTTGTCATAGACGCCATTCCATGGTTATAGACATGATGTTGTAACATGACACTAGAAATATTGCTGGCATCATGTAGTGACAAATAGGAACAAACATGCTATACAGGCCCAATGTGTCTTTTGTTGAGAGAAATTATCATAAAATTAATAGTGTTATTTTAGTTATTTGGAAAAAAGGTGCTGAGAATATATGACGTGTTAAACTGTGGCATATTAAGATCCAATGGCTAGAATGAAGAGAAAGATGGCTACATTTGCCTTCCAATAACAAGTGTCGTTCTTAAAAGCTGTCACACTGTCTACTGAATGATATATTGTGTGAGTGACTCCCTTTTCACGGAGATAAATCGCACACGTCGTCAGAATTCCGCGCACAAGACGTGCTTTAATTCCATCTCATGGGCGATGTCTTGTATCTCTCTCTCTTTCACTGTCAGAAATGTCAGCTTTTTCATCTTCGATCTCCTCTCTATCACACTAGGCAGTTAACATTTTATAACGTTAGTAGAAATCAACGACTTTGTCTAATGTTCTCTACTAAGGCTGAGTGTAGTTAACAGAAGCGATAATTCAAAAGGTCGGTGATATTTGTTTGGATGAAGGATTTCATCAAGCTTGTATGGCATGGTACAGCTTTGGTCTGTATTTTGAATTGATATCGTTCACCATATTTAAATACTTTCTGTGTTGAATACAGGCCTTGTCATAAAATCAATATCTTCATGCCTACACTTTGAGTTGGTAATTCTGAATGTCTAATGCATGTTTATGTGTCTGATGGACGTCTTATGGAATATCTTTGTTCTAGAAATCAGTGTTTTGGATTTGTTTAATTCCCAATTAATCGCTCAAATTTTTTTTCAGAACAAATCATACCTTACATGTGCAGTATGTATTGTGAAATACTGACGTGTCTCAATCTGCTGAAACATTGAAAAGCCATTATCCGAGAGTAAATACAAATTGGTGTTAACCATCAATGGCATAACAAATGGTTTTCAGTCCTGCCTGTAGTTATTAGGTTAATTTTCAGGTCACCTGAGTGAATTTCAATGACCATTTCTACTCTGTTGTTCATTGTCCATCCTGAAAACACACAGCTGGGATTTCAATCAATTTTGCAGAAAGGTTCCATGGGCAATGACAAACTAAAGATGTAAATTTTATCATTCCAAACCCCAGGGGCCTGAAGGGTGGGGCCTACAGGGGAAAATTTGCTTATTTTTCAAAACTTTTCTTCTGCAGACCAAGATACTAGAAAAAAGAAAACTCTTCATGGATGGTCCCAAAGTGATTTTATCAAAAATTGTAAATTTCAAAACCCTTGGGTCCCTTTTTTCTTCAATGAAGAGGTAAATTTCACTTTAGTTTAAATAGAAAAATCAAATAAGTCAAAAAAATATGATTGTTCCATTTGAAGTTGCTTTGTGTTGATATAGCAGTTACTGGGAAAATTGAGCACTGCTCTTGAATTTTTTGTGAAAATTTTTGTTACATTTGATTAAGCCTAAATTAGTAAGTCTACATCATATTTTATTTTCAGTAAGAATTTAATCTCGGTTAGAACTATTGTCATCAGACAGCAGTTTGATAGTATGAAAGAGATGGTGAGCCTCTGACCAGCATGATGATAGGAACTCTAGGGTGGAATTTGCTTTTCTGAAAAATGAAATTGGTGAATTAGGATTTAGAACTTCTCCGATATGCATGGCCTGAAACATCATTTGGGGAGTGATTTTATTTCACAATAATTGCTGGATTATTCACTTTAATTTCTTTTGTTCAATTTGATATTTTGGGAAGAGCATGTGCATTCTCTGTATGTTAAGGCCAATGGGCCTTTTGTTTGTTCAGAGCATATAAACAGTATTTCTTTATAAATATAACCTCCATGCAAAGGTGAAGGTCAGAGTCTCTTTCTGATGTGTAAGTACTCTAGTTTGTCTTTTGGATGGTGGGCATGTATTTTGGAACACAGAATTTTTTTTCTAACTAGTATTTAACATGTTATAACATATATTCTGTCGGTATATAGTTGAGGCATGGCTATATAACAGTTATCGCCAAGTGGAACTAACATTGCTGATAAGTGTAATTATACTTTATTGTGAAATGGTTTTAGTTAATTTTGATATTGGCAAGAAAACATTTCACACCATAATTCCTTTATAGGTGAAATATTGGTATTATAATTACTTGGATTTTATTTAAGTTGTCTGCAAAAAACAAAAAAACAATGATTGCTTATTCCTCAATCTATTCAACAACTTTTCCTACAAAGCCCTTCTTGTTGTGAATGACTGAGCAAATTTTGACCAAATTTGGTCAAAAGCATCCTTTGGGAAGGAGAACTTAGTTTTGTTACTTCCTTAGTAGTTTGTTAACCCATCTCCCAACTTATTTTCGAAATTATAAGTATTAGCATATGTTTATTTCGACCATTTTTCCGGCCGTGTTTTCCTCCACGTGTTTGAGTGTGTGACCACGTGTCTCATTTTGCGGATAGCCTGACCCTGACTCGGCGCAGTCGAGGGTCAATGTGGCTGGGAGCTCCCGTTTGCTGATAGTGTTACTGTCGGGTAGGGACTTCTGAATGCTGGTCACTGATTCGTTCAGTGATCCTGGTGCGCCAGGTGGTGGTGTTGGTAGGGGCCGCATTGACTTCATTTACGATCATTCTTGGCCTTTTAGGCAGCAGGGGCAGGGTACAATATAAGAAATGGAGCACATTCCTTAAAATTCTCATCCTGTAGGAATGCCTGAATTTTGTCTCATTTTTACCGATGCATCCTTGGGTTTTCTCTAATATTATTGAGATCACTTTCTGTCAGCATCCCCCGAAAAACCATAGCCTCCTTTCCTGAAATGTGCTTTTAACATCATATTTTGGCAACATAAAAAACTTTTTATATCCCAAAATGAAATGTTGACATTTCAGATCGTGTCCAGTTAACATTGGTCTGTAGCCTTTTCCAGTATAAACTCAATTTTTACCCAAAGATTTAAAATGAATTTGGTATATTGTCTTACATGAACAAACTTTAGGTTGAATTAGAGTTTGATATTGGCAAAATCTGTCAATGTTTGCAACAGTTTCAGGGCTTTAAATACATTGAAATAGATAATTTCTTGGTGTCTGTTAAATAACCTTAATTTGTATTGTGAGCTGAATCTGGTATATTTTCATCAATAAGATCGGGGTTGCCTTTGTTATTGGTTAACATTTGCCAGAGCTACAAGGCTTTAAAAACGTTTGCAGTAGATAATTTTTCTTGTTTCCCCCAAATAACTTCTTACCATGAGATATGATGATAGTTTGGCATATTGCTTTATACCTCTGACACATTGGGTGAGTTTGATAATGGCCTTGGTTATCAATGCAAAAGCTATGGGACTGAGACAATCCATCAATATTTGTCAAAGTTATTCGACCTTAAGATTGTCTGAATAACTTGCCAACTTCTGAAGCAGACCCAAATTTGCCTTTGATATAATGCAAAAATGCCTTTCATAGTGAGTGTCCGAGTGCTCGTATTTGTTTAGCTGTCATTGTTTCTCTAACATTTCTTGTTCTCTTATGAAGTAACATTGACCATGGTCGTCACTCTTGGTCAACAATAATCCATACTGCAGCATTAAATTTAACTCTGGTAGACTAATGTCAACTACTGTCATCACAATCTGTCAACAGTCATCCATGTTGCAGTATTCAGTTTTTCCCGTGGTAGACTAATCAATGTGTCAACATTGATCCAGATGACAACATTTAATCCCCCTCACCACCTACCCAGTAGACTTGTGTTGACAACTAACCATCACAATGCGTCAACATTGACCCAGATGACAACATTTAATCCCCCTCACCACCTACGCAGTAGACTTATGTTGACAAATGTTGATGACAGCATTTAATCCCCCTCACCGCCTACCCAGTAGACTTGTGTTGACAACTAACCATCACAATGTGTCAACATTGATCCAGATGACAGCATTAAGTTTCCCCCAGCAGACTTATGTTGACAAATGTTGACAAATGTCATCACATTATGTTAACAACCAGGTGAACTAATGACATTTGTAACATCACCAACATTGATCTTTTCTGATACAGCATCCATACTGTATACATGCAGGATTTCAGCTGACAACACAGTGAAGATCTTTTAACTTTCAAACACATATAGCTTTACTTGGTGAGCAAATTTAAAAATTTACTTATTGACAAAATCTATTTCGTGAAACTAACCAATTCAAATACGGCCTTGTTGTTACAGCTGTGATGTGAAATGTAATTTTAATTTTACATTCATGGAAATCGCTTGTATTGGTGTGTTGAGTGTGTTTTTCTTCAGGATTATGAGGGAATGTGATGTTGTCAGTGAACAACTCCTTTACACAGAAATAGATTCTCTTCATTACCATAAGTTGAAATTCAATTTCTCTAAATGATGAAATTTTACCAATAGAAAAATGGTAATGTACATCCATTACTGCATGCTAAGAGATGGATCCACTGTAAGATAAGACTTGTATGTTTTGGAGAGGAAATCCTGACTGGGTGATGTTGTGACATTAGGATTTGTAATAACATTGTTGTGATGTATTATAATTAAAATTTACACATACATCTGTATAGTATTAATAATTACTCATTTCTCGAATATCTTCCCTTTTCTTAAAGGTCGTTACCATCAACCAGTGTGATTTATATCATTATTCAGCATTAAGCTGGTATAAACCTGCTTATCTCATCAATTGTCTTTTAGTGATGTAAGAAATGGTACCTCACCAAGCATCACCCTCCATTATGACCACACCCTCCATTCTGACCACATCACCCTCCATTCTGACCACATCACCCTTCATTCTGACCACATCACCCTCCATTCTGATCACATCACCCTCCACATCATCCTCTATTCTGACCGAATCACCCTCCACATCACCCTCCATTATGACCACATCACCCTCAATTATGACCACATCACCCTCCATTCTGACCATATCACCCTCCATTCTGACCACATCACCCTCCATTCTGACCACATCACCCTCCACATCACCCTCCATTATGACCACATCACCCTCAATTATGACCACATCACCCTCCATTCTGACCATATCACCCTCCATTCTGACCACATCACCCTCCATTCTGACCACATCACCCTCCATTCTGATCACATCACCCTCCACATCACCCTCTATTCTGATCACATCACCCTCCACATCACCCTCTATTCTGATTACATCACCCTCCACATCACCCTCCATTCTGACCGAATCACCCTCCATTCTGACCACATCACCCTCCATTCTGACCACATTTCCCTCCATTCTGACCACATCACCCTCTATTCTGACCACATCATCCTCCATTCTGATCACATCACCCTCCATTCTGACCACATCACCCTCCATTCTGACCACATCATCCTCCATTCTGATCACATCACCCTCCACATCACCCTCCATTCTGACCACATTACCCTCCATTCTGACCACATCACCCTCCATTATGACCACATCACCCTCCATTCTGACCACATCACCCTCCATTCTGACCATATCACCCTCCATTCTGACCGAATCACCCTCCATTCTGATCACATCACCCTCTATTCTGACCACATCATCCTCCATTCTGACCACATCACCCTCCACGTCACCCTCCATTCTGACCACATCACCCTCCATTCTGACCACATCACCCTTCATTCTGATCACATCACCCTCCATTATGACCACATCACCCTCCACATCACCCTCCATTCTGACCACATCATCCTCCATTCTGACCACATCACCCTCCACGTCACCCTCCATTCTGACCACATCACCCTCCATTCTGACCACATCACCCTTCATTCTGATCACATCACCCTCCATTATGACCACATCACCCTCCACGTCACCCTCCATTCTGACCACATCACCCTCCATTCTGACCACATCACCCTTCATTCTGATCACATCACCCTCCATTATGACCACATCACCCTCCACATCACCCTCCATTCTGACCACATCATCCTCCATTCTGATCACATCACCCTCCATTCTGACCACATCACCTTCCATTCTGATCACATTATCCTCCACATCACCCTCAATTATGACCACATCACCCGCCATTCTTACCACATCACCCTCCATTCTGACCACATCACCCTCCATTCTGACCACATCACCCTTCATTCTGATCACATCACCCTCCATTATGACCACATCACCCTCCACATCACCCTCCATTCTGACCACATCATCCTCCATTCTGATCACATCACCCTCCATTCTGACCACATCACCCGCCATTCTTACCACATCACCCTTCATTCTGACCACATCACCCTCCATTCTGATCACATCACCCTCCACATCACCCTCTATTCTGACCGAATCACCCTCCACATCACCCTCCATTCTGACCACATCACCCTCCATTCTGATCACATCTCCCCCATTCTGAAGATATCACCTTTCAGTCGGTTGACAGTAATTGATACTGCCTTGTGTCTTGAAAATGGACGTTCCAGTGTATCTCTAGTGTGATGGTGTATCTCAAGTGTGATGAGGGAAGATATTGATGTTAGCTTGGTAATTTGAAATAAGGCTGCAATCTGCTGACATGTCAGAACTCTTTGTACAGCTGAAATTAGTCTTATGTAATCTAATGTTGAGGATAGATTTTCTGTTTACCATTATAATACTCAAAATGAAACGATTTTACAAATTCTATTCTTTAATTTTGAAATTACTCCTGATTGTTTCTTTCAATTGTACATGGAGCAGACAAATCTGGTCACTATAAATCTATCTATGTATTGTAACATTCTAGCCAAGTGTTTTTTGGCCGTTGATCACCATGGTGATAAATCTGAGCAAACATTGTTTCTGTAAATATGACAACGATTATCCAATGCTTGGTAAGACACATCGCCCCATGGGCTCCATAACGACCCTTTCAAGGAAGACAATTATCGGTGTTCTGTTACGCTTACAAGCTAAGTAGCGGAAAGAGCTTATACTGGTGGGACTACAGGTCACAGAACAGTCTCTCATCTACACTGCTCTAGGCTTACACCACTCTTGTGCAGCTCGTAAAACATTTGCGAAGCTGATGCTGCCTTGGGCATGTCATCTCTAGGGACATGCTGAAACCCAAAATATTTCATTTTTATGCTTCAAATTGATTGTGGTTACTAAATATTTTTACAACTTTTCCAAATGTTGTTTTGTCCTATATACAGGGTTTAAGAATTGTTAGCTTGTTCAGTTTTTCCAATGTGTTCCCGAGTCTGTAAGCTTCTGGCTGGCCAGAAATGTCGAGTAATAATAGCACTTTAAGTTGCAGGATGAGCGAGTAACTACAGCAATACTAGGTAGTCACAGCCTAGTGATTAACAATCATATCCTCTACACAGAAACACTCATTGACACAAAATAAAGTGTTACGGATAATAGAGATGTTCTGTATAATAGTGTTTATCATCTCGTGATAACCTGCAGGACTGGGGTCTACACAGCTGTCACACGCCTGTGCTGGACTGTTGATTTAACAGATATATAATCTCGTCCTACAGGTGAAATTTAACTGATTACTGGAGTACATGTTTGTCATGAATCCATGGACGCTAATCATACCGTCTACATAGATCTGAAGATCATGCTAGAGTGGATTACAGTTGTACATTTCTCAACCCTAAGGACTCACATTTCACTTGTTGCAGTTTACTGTAGTTGACAGTCATAATTTCCATGGGAAATAATTGAAAATAAATTAGAATTATCAGTATAGGATTATTGATTGATAACCCCAGGGGCTCATGAACGGGGCAAAACAGATAACATCAATGCAGATTTCAAAAATCTTCTTCTCAAGATATGGTAGAATCAAGTAGAACCAAATACTCCATAGAAAAATTTTGCCTAGACAACATCCAAAATTTGGAACCAGTTTCAATGAAATTACAAAAGACCAAGAGTAGTGCCTGCAGGTGGTCATCAAGGCTCTTGGGCCTCTTTATTGTTTGAGTAACTACACAGCCTAATCTTCATTAGAATACAACAGAAACTAAAAGCTTTACCAGGGAACTACAGAAACTAATATCTTTATCAGGGAACTACAGAAACTGATAGGGAACTACAGAAACTAATATCTTTATCAGGGAACTACAGAAACTGATAGCTTTATCAGGGAACTACAGAAACTGATAGCTTTATCAGAGAACTACAGAAACTAATATCTTTATCAGGGAACTACAGAAACTGATAGCTTTATCAGGGAACTACAGAAACTGATAGCTTTATCAGAGAACTACAGAAACTAATAGCCTCACCAGGGAACTACAGAAACTGATAGCCTCACCAGGGAACTACAGAAACTAAAAGCTTTACCAGGGAACTACAGAAACTGATAGCTTTATCAGAGAACTACAGAAACTAATAGCCTCACCAGGGAACTACAGAAACTGATAGCCTCACCAGGGAACTACAGAAACTGATAGCCTCACCAGGGAACTACAGAAACTAATAACTTTACCAGGGAACTACAGAAACTGGAAGCTTTATCAGAGAACTACAGAAGTGGATAAATAGGATGTGTACTCTATTAGGAATTGAAAAACAGAGAAATCAGGGTTTATACTTTGAAAAATCCTGCTTAGAAATAGATAAAGGGATTTTTACCAAATATGGTTCTTTTTTTATTGAATGTTGTTTATTTACACTCTGTGGTGAATCAATGGTATAAAAGTATTGATTTCTTTGAGCAGTCATTATACTTTATATCTAAATAACATCTGTAGAACAGACAGGACATGTCACTAGTATAAAGCTTCATTGCCTTATTTCTTTAGTATGTAAAGACCTGAGATATATCGCAACATTTTCTACAGGTTGGTGATGTCAGTGAAATAGAGGTTCTTACAACACAACCAATAGAAGAAGATTTAAGTGTGACATTTTGATGACTACACTGTCACCTTCATCAGACAAATGACCAGTGTTTGGCATACTAGCACTGACATACATAGTGTATGAGTTGGTAAAGAACCCACCAATGTTTTTCAGCTCTATTATTATCGTACATGTACATTAAGGTTGAAATAGTATGAAGTAAAAAACATAAGAAAGTACACCAGAATGTAACAATGTACTGTAGTTGATAATGCTTTTTTTTAATACTTGGTCATAGATGAGCCTGAGTCTGTGGCCCACTAAAATGCTAGCTAAGAGTTTGAATTATGTCATTGTCCCAGACAAAATTCCAGTTGATGATTTTATTGTAGATATTGCACAGGAAAGGCACGGGAAAACTTGAGTTGGGTGTTATACAACCTTTGCTCAACGGATGTGAAACGATTGTCACAGAAGAACAAGACAAGAACTAAACCCCATGAAAACATATCCAAATCAGGTTATCAAGAAAGTTAACAATGAATTCGGGGAAAGCAAAGAAAAGACTCGGAGATAAAACACCAGCAACAACAAAAATGAAAGGACAGGTAGTCATCCCTTACATCAATGGCCTGTCAGAAACCATTCAGAGGATTTACTGTATTCATGGTCTTGCAACAGCCGTGAAACCTCACGAGACTACTAGTCAATCCTAAGGATAAAACACCCAAAGAGAATGTCGCAGAATGTGTATACAGAATCAGATGCAAAGAGTTTGATGCATCAAATATGGAGTAATGGGTAGGAGTTTTGGGGTTACACTCATTAAACAATTGAAAGACAAAATCTCAAGGAGGCGAAAAATTAACCAGATCAAAGCAAAAGTATTCTCAATTCCAGACTCACACATGTATGTGTTAGATAAAGCTAAATGGACTTCCATGCATTGTTAACGGCTGGTATTCTTTTTTCAACCTCAGTGCAGGATTACAGTACAGTCAAAAATGTTGGTGGATTCCTTACAATCTCATACACTATGTACATTATATGTCAGTACTAGTATGGTACAGTATATGTCAGTACTAGTATAGTACAGTATATGTCAGTACTAGTACGGTACAGTATATGTCAGTACTAGTATGGTACAGTATATGTCAGTACTAGTATGGTACAGTATATGTCAGTATTAGTATGGTACAGTATATGTCAGTACTAGTATGGTACAGTATATGTCAGTACTAGTATGGTACAGTATATGTCAGTACTAGTATGGAATACAATCTCATACACTATGTACATTATATGTCAGTACTAGTATGTGGACACATTGGTCTTATATCTGATGAAAGTTTACTCAGCCCTGGGGGTGGGGGTGGGGGGATGGGGTGATGTACCCAGCCCTGGGGGGGGGGGGGAGGTAATGTACCCAACCCTAGGGGTAGAGATGATATGGTATATACACTTTAGTGCTACATGCCATTAGTATTATTGTCAGGTGACAAGAGTCAGATCATCATTTCCGAGCTTAACTGGGGAATTTGGCATCACAAAATTAGTGTTATTTTTGTAGGATTTTTCAGGTGATCAATGCAAAACACCATAACTACAAAAAATTTGATGAGTGTAAGAGATGTATAGCAAAATCTCAACATTTGGGTGAGTCCTACAAGAAGATTGAGCCCTCATACATGTTTAGAACTCAAATATCTGAGTCGAAAAATACCAGTGGTAGTATCGTTAGCACCTTGAGTTTATTTAATAATGACCCAGTGCATATACATGTGTTCATCTTTTTTGGAATGAGTTATGTCCCCTTGAATGTTTTTCTTCCATTATCTCTTCAGTAGATGTGGGCATCAGTGTTGCATCAAATTAACCACCTTTCAGGGTCACAGTGATCAGAAAGAAAATCAATTTTCAAGGTCTCAGAAACCAGAAAAACAACTGCTTTTCTAGGTGTCAGTGATGAAAAAAGTTACCACCTTTCAGTGATCAGAAATCAGAAAAGTGACCACTTCACTTTTCAAAATATCAAATAGAGATTAAGTGTAACAAAAAAACAAAAAGCACTGATATTTAGTTTATATAGATGATTTCAAATTGATTACAGTGTAACATGTCAGTTTATCTTGCAGAATTTCCTATATTGTTTCAGTACTAGTGAAAAACAAACAGATGAGTAATTATAAGCCGTGGATGCTTTTTACACAAAGTGTATCCCCACAGTACTTGGAGATTAATATCATGATGAAAGAACTGATAGATCTTGTTTTTAGAAGGATGGATGCAGACTGACGTCATAACTAACAGATTTTTCTGTAATCCTTGTTTTATTGAATTTGCTTTCCCTTAATAGATAGATTAATGATATAGACGAACACTGGAGAGGAATCTGTCTGTTTATTCTGTCTGTATAAGTCTGGCTATGCCTCTCAGTGACACAGTTACGTGTAGCCTCACTCTGGGGCTGGTTAGGTCTGGTTGTGGTTATCAGTGACACAGTTAAGTGTAGCCTCACTCTGGGGCTGGTTAGGTCTGGTCATGGC